CGATCTCTCCTGCGGCTAGGGCTGGGAGATCAGGTCCAGCTACTGAGAAGGCTGCGTAGACCATGACGGAGAATAAGCCTAAGAATCGGCCAGTGTTGCCATCGGTATAGTACTCGAACATAACGCCGTCGGTCCAATTCCTAAAACCATATGCATCGTGCTTGGGGTTTCCTCCGACCATTGTGATGAAGGTGAGGAGGACGAGTCCGATGAGGAGGAGGATCTTAGTCGATGCTAGGACGAACTCGCTCTCGCCGTACCATTTCACCGAGACAAGGTTGAGCATCGTGCAAACAACCAGTGCCATGGCTACCCAGACGGCGGGGTTGACGCTTGTATTCCAGTATTGCATGATTGTTGAGACAGCAGAGTACTCCGTACAGACTAGCATTACACCTCCATAGAAATATACCCAACCCCTAGAAGGGTTAGTGTCTGCAGGGTATAGCAAGGCAATATAGGGCATGGAAGAACTTACATAGCAAACCCAAAGGCTGGGTCAATAAACCGGGCAGCAAGCTCAAAGATAGATCCACGAATGGGGAGGTATGCAGCCATTTCACCAACACACAGATTGACAGGCAAGATAAAGAGACATCCCCAAATAAGATATCCGAGGAAGACTGACAGCGGACCGGCATCCCGTAGGTGAGATCCAATACCGACGAAAAGCCCAGTACCAATTGAGCCTCCAATGGCCATTAATTGAACATGTCGGGATGAGAGACCGCGCTTCGTCTGCTGGACGGGTAAAACATCGCCCGCGCTAGTATCCTCCGGGATGGAAACGTCTGTAGAAACTTTCTTCTCCATGACGAAATGCTACTCGAGCTTGGAATTACTCCATTCCATGAAGCGGGGAACATGACACTTTATACTCTGTATGCGCACCGACATTATCAAGAAGTGTGTGGTGCCAAGGACATTGATAACTAGACAAACGGCCTGCGAGCATACATGTTGATCATGCAACCTCTAAACAAAACTGCCAAGATGATTTCGGCGATACGCAAGACATCAAACACTACTGATAAGACAGACATTGACCAAGATCACCGAAGTCGTTCGGCATCATCCCAAAAGGGGGAGGAGAAGGCGATGCTAAACCTTGAAGATCTGCCAAGTGATAAGCTTATCAGGGCTTAACAGGAGCTGGCCACCTGGGCAACCTGGGCACCTGGGCAGGGGCCACAGTTCAAACGTGACAAAATATCTCTTTTGATAAGGGACATTAATGCCCCAGACTGTTTCCCATTTGTGTGGTAAATTCTTAGACAAATCAAAACTTTGATATCGGAACTTGACCGGAGGGCATATCAACCGAAACCTGCAGACCGACATGCTTAAAGCAGTTCAAAGTGGCCTATCAGCATTCAATGGCCAAGAAAATTCTCCGATCCTCTCCGTTCCATTCGTCCTTGGACTAGATTGTAATATTCTCACTTGGTTTTAGGAGGGCGGCCGAAGCAGAAGCCATAAAGTATACCCCCGCATTTTGATGGGCACGCCAGCGGGGCTTGAGCGCCAGACACCGGCCCGGTGCTGTTTGTATATTTTTTACAGTTAAGGTTAAGGCCCATGACGGACAGGATCTTCCGCGTTCTTTATAATAAGGTCAGTTTAGGTTTGGAATAAGAATTGTGGTCTGTAAAATGTCGAAACTACTGAAATAATTTCCTCAATTGTACTTGTGTGCTTCCTCAACTGGAATTCTCCACATAAAAAGTGGACAATGAGTATAAACAGCCTCCCGAGGTCCTTCCCCGTCACTCCACTCGGTATAAATAGATTAAATTGAGCATCACGCAGGATTCTATAGACGGTTTGCTCTCTGGACAAGACACTGAAGCATTCAAGCGCTCCAAGATATAACTTTAAATAGATGACTAGATGCACTCCTTTTGATCTACTCTATAGAATAATTAAATACACAAGTTCCTACCCCCACAAGTCCACACCGTTACAAGTGAATCATTCAAAGGCCGGCGGAAGAAAACCCTCCGTATGAGCCCCATCCAACGGCCACGGCCAATCCGACAACAACTCCGGCGGCAGCTGGAACTGCATCATCTGCTCGCCCATTGCCGTCGGTGGACCAACTGTCGGGACCGGACCACTAGGGGGAATGTATGCTGTGGGTTGGATCGGGATTTCGCGTTTAGTGTCGATGGGGATTGAGCTATGTTGGGGGCGCTGGTGTTGCGCCGCGAGATTGTGTAGTCGGGAGGTGCGCATATATCCGTCGATTCTGTCTACCTGCGACCGGAGTCGTTGGCTGGCGCCGGCGGTGCGCTGGAGACCTGTCTCGAGGCGGCCGAGGAGATCGGCCATTTCGAGTCTGTGGGGAGGGTATTAGTTTGGATGATTAGTTTGGGATAGGTGAAAGACTTACAGCAACGTGCGGACGCGTTGGTAGGATGCTTCTGATAAACTTCCTTCCATTACAGAGCCTAGGATATAGCCGATTCCGCCGAGATGATGAAGCTGTGAGTGGTTAGTAAAGTGGGGGTTAGAAAAATCAATGGTGGACATACCAAAGGGGAGCTGATGGCATTCAAATACTCCACGGGAACTTTGCTGAAGACACTAAGAAGTTCTCCAGCAACGTCACATTTGCGGTCGACGCCAAGCTCTTCCGCCGACAAGAGCACCATCCGGAGGAGCTGCAGTGTTGCCTGGATGTTGGCAGACTGGAACCCGAATAGGTCCTTCGACATATCGCCTGTAGTGGGCGGGGTTTCTTTAAATTGTGACGGCAGCGCGGCGTACATGGATAGTACCCTCTCCATGACTGCTGGTTCTGACATGGATGCCGGGGTGAACAGAGACCATACCTGCGATGTTCCGTTGGCTGACGAGAAACGACGTCGATTACCATCGACGACGTATTCTAGAATTCGATATAGATCTGTTGTAAAGTTCCAACCTCGAAGCCATGCCACGGGTTGTCGTGATACGACGGTCACATCGTCCGGGCTGACGGCCGACTCTGGAGACACGGGCGGCAGCCCGTAGCCGTGTGGTGTGATGAACTCGTCGTCAACTTCACTCGGATATCGTACCAGAGAATGCGCTTCGCGGTATCGAATCACGCCTCCCCATACAATGGTGGAATAGATATCCAACGTATAAATAGACCAAAACTTCAAACCTAGAGTTAGTGGAAATCGTAACCATAAGAGAAGGATACATACTAGTCTTCGCCGCTCCTCGGTTTCGATAGCAGTCAAGTTTTTTGGCCAAAGCTTTTCATCATGAAGGCCCTCCATGCTGGTTAGAGTATGGTACATGCCGGAGTATTTCTGCATATTCTTAATCTGGCCGTTTTGAATACTGACAATTGCGAGAATAGCGCATGCACGCATATAGTTAATGCCTCTTGCCGCTGCGAGGTCTCGGGGAATAGAATCCTTGGCCGCGGCATAAAATGCCTCGGATGGAGGATCAACAAGTTCATCGCGATGCCATCTATTAGTGAACAGCGCGCCGTCTCGCGCGCGTCCAGAAACTAGGGCGCAAACTGCCATTGTTGTGGCAAATAACCCCGGATTTCGGAGGTGCTCTTGGTTATGAACTCTTTCAATGAAAGATTGCTTGTGGAAAAGCGGAAAGCTAGGAATTTATCAGTCATAGAAAAGGACAATAGCAATGACAAGGTCGATTCGTACATTGGATATACAATCTCGAAGTATACTTGCACAAGATTTCGGATTTGACGATCACTGGCAATGGCGAATGCATTCCATGAGTTGCGCAATGCGCCGTCATCATCATACCCTTCCGTTGCCACGCCGCCAGTATTGAAGGTAGACCATGGATCCCCAGTCAATGACGGGCGATGGGCGGACTCGGTATAATACGAGCTCCTAGACGCCGAGGAATTTGACATCCTCCCTGTCGCCTGCGCAGCAGGCGGTACAGGGAGGATATTGTCAGGGGCAGGAGTTCCTATCAACGATGTCTCTCGCATAGAGGCCCTGGTACCAGCCTTGACGCCCCGTCGCTTTGCGGGGCGATCAAAGGTGCACGGGACGTCAAAATCTGCACAATTCTGACATCTGCCTAGCGGGTCTTCACTTCTGCCGCACTTGATGCTGCGTCTGTTGCAGAAGTCGCCTGTGAATGCAACATGAGCTCTGAGCTTTCTAGTACAATCCGGGGGAATAATTGCCGCCAAGCGGGGGTGGAGTATACAATTGGACGTGGGGATCTTACAGGCTTTGGAGACGCGTTGCAGCTTTCGGGGTTTTTGCGACATTCAATTCATTAGTTCATTCCAAGCTCGGAAAGTGGTCTCAGGCGCAGTGAAGCGGGAGGTAATTCGTGGGCCCCCGGTTTCGGTCAAAAAAAATGGGGTTCCGGGTCTGCAGAGAGACACGGGTCGCGTATGGGAAATCCTGGGGTAAGGTTGTGCAAAATGGAAACAAAAACGCAAAAAAATTGACTATCAAACTCAAGCAGCAACTTTCTCCGATGACATCGATGCGTAATTGAATTGCCAGAAATGAGAGAGGATAAAAGTCGACATTAGAGTTACAAGCCACAAAGGCTGACTCAGCAGCGTGTCATTCCAAGGTTGACGCCGGGGGACGGAGGACGATCGAATGCAGTCGAGATTTCGACGATCATTAGGTCTACTCCGTAGAGTCTAATGTATTATATTCAATGTCCCAAATCGATTTTGGTTTGCACATGAAATCAAAAGAAAATATTTATTGCGTATAATGTTTGCCAAGGTGTCATATATATATCCCTGCCTAGTTTTCTATAAAAGGTTACGACCTAACCCACAGGGCCCACTACCAGCACCATGTGACACAGATGTGAAAAAGAAGTTGTAAATGTGTAGATAATAAATGTATGAACACAATATTTTTGATAAATTAAGTACAGATAACAACCTTCAGTACACAATCTTATACATGTGTTGCCTCTAGGGTAGGTGTAACATGATTAAAACGCTCTATGTATATAGTATGACGTAAATTGCTGGTGAGGTTTTAGACAGTTCCAACTTTAGATGGGGAGGTTGTCAGCTCGGTCTTGCCGTCACTGAGAACCTCGCCCCTGCTAACTCCGTGTTCGGCGAGGACATCGCCGTGGAGCTTATATGCCTGTTCCATCTTCCAGTAGAATGGGCTGGTGGTTGAGAAAAGAGCGTCAATCGACTCAAGAGAGCGGTTGCGGGTTTCAGGATAGACTGCGAAGAAGATCATGTTAGATCTGGAACTTGACGTGGACTCATGGAAGGTCAAGCACATACATAGGTAGACGATCGGGATCCAGAGGAGGTTAAGGCCAGCAAACAAAAAGTATGTACGGCTCTAAGAGGTTATCAGTATCTCCATTGAAGTAGAAAAGTGGAAGCCACTTACGGTCATGACATTAAACATGATGGGGTTGACTAAAGTGGTCATACCCACCCCAATAGCCCACCCTGTGATTCCGAATCCATTTCCTTGGGCTCTTAGATCACTGGGAAAGATCTCAGTAGGGATCAAGAAAGCGACCGTGCCCCAGGTGGCAGCATAACTAGTAATCACTTTAGTATGTAGAAAGTATCGCAATTCCATGAGGTCTTACCCGAGGTTGAATAAAAAGAGCATGGTAACGGCACCAGGCGCATATTGAGATGCGTTTTCAGGGTTATGAAGCGAGCCTTCATAAACAGCTCCGGCCTATAAGATTGTCAGGAGGAAGCACTTCGACTTATAGAAGAAAAACTCACAATAAGGTTGACTGCGAATAAAACAGCCGCTCCGCCCATCAGACACACCCGTCGGCCAAATCGGTCGATGATTTGGGCACTAATAATGGTACCTATAATTCCAATCGTGTTGATTCCTCCGGCAAGACCGTTTTGCTTTATATCACTATAGCCTGCCTGAGCAAGCAGTGTTGGGGAATATGCAGTAACCGCCTACAATCACTATTAGCACCCCGATTCGAGGGACTGGTTGTAACCGTCGTGACTCACCGTTATACCCGTCCAAGACGCCATAATTTGAAGCCAAACACACAACCAAGCTCGTCGGCCGAGATTCATACCCGGCTTTCCACCCTTTCCAAATAAGATTTTTCCAAACTCAATGGGGGAGCTGCGCTTGCTTCCCTCCGCAGTGACTATAATCTCAAGGTATTCTCGCTCGATATCGTCTTGGGAGGCTCGGTCTTTGCGAATACGATTTAGAAGATCTCGTGCTTCATCACTCCGCCCCACCGAGGCCAGATAGCGGGGGCTATCCGGCAACATTTTTATGAAGGCAACCAGGATGAGTGCCGGGAAACACTGGAAGGCGAGAAGGAAGCGCCATCGTACGTCCGAGTAACCGTTATCGACAAATGCGAGACCGAAGGAGATCCAGTATGCGACGGAAATTCCTAGATCTTGAAAATAATCCATGTCAGAAAAGGCCCCCACAGTGGATATCGCAAATCGGATAGCTCACAATTGGCAATGAAGACATAACCCAAAAAGCCACCTCGATGGTTCGCTGAAGCGGTCTCTGAGACCAATACTGGGGTAATGCCAGTTAAGGCTGTGAGAATAACGAATTAGAATCGTGGCTCCTTGTCGGCCTCAAGCTGAGCCAAGAATCTTAAGGATCCTCACCCCCGGTCCCAATCCCTGTAATCACCCTAGCGCACAGCATGAAATTTGAATCCTGCGCGGCCGCTTGCAGCGCGCCACCGATTAGCGCAAATGTCGATCCCGCGAGTAGGCCGTTGATCCGACCAACGCGATCTGCCAGCCATCCACCAGCGAAACAACCGAAGATCGCACCCAGGTAATAAATGCTGACAATTCCACCCTGGTGAGTGGTGTCGGTGACTGTCCCATCTGGTTTACCGATGCCAACCTCTGTCACATATTTGGGTGCGCTGTTGACGCCACCCATCACACCCTGGTCATATCCCTCGAAGAAGATTGAGATCAGCGAAAATATTTGAATAGCGACATTCAGCTGACGCGGCGACAGTCGCTTCCATAGTGTGGTGTAGCCCATGATGGCCGATAAGCTACTTCCCCAGATAAAGCGAAATAGAAGTGTATTACCGAGTGATCCTTGTTATGGGACCCGCCCCCGGCATGGAAGAATCTGAAGGCTAAGCTTGGTAAGACTGGGGACAATGGATCTGTTGATGCGGGGCCAAAGCCCATTCCAAGCGCGTAGCCATTTATCATTTGTAATTGCTAATAGGCGTTTTGCCGGTCATCCCTTCTCCCTTTGTTAACTATTACAGGAGTACTCCGTACTCCGTAGATCTATCAGAATCGAGAATGCCCAAGCGGATTTTTCGGTCTCCACCATCCACCGGTTGGTTCATTATGGGTACCGGCTGATAGGACCGGCTTTGTTAAATAGGGGACTTGATCCTCAAGATGTTTTCGTTTTTTTCCCGTCGAGTTTTTCTGATATTTTCGCGTGTTATTTGAAATTTTGGAATCAAACATGGCGTCCAACTTCACTAATGGCACTACTAGCCATAGTTTAGACATCACGGTTTTGGGTTTGAATAGCGGAACTTCCATGGTGGGTGGCTGTTTGTTCAACTGAGAAACACCAAACTTATCAGCTATAGGATGGCATCGACTGTGCCCTTTGTCGATTCCGCCAGGATACCCCCGAATCGCCCATGCACTTCGAACTACTTAAGGCAAGTACATAGGTACCTACGGGAATGCTCCACAGGGTACGAGATACTGACCAATGACACAGTATGGTGAAATCCCACTTGAGCCGGTGATCAAGAAGCGGGTGATGAATATGATCCTGCATAATAAGACCTCCCCTTCGGAGTTGTCGGAAGTAAATGTGATCCTGGGCGAGACCTTCGCCTCAGCTGTGCACCAGTTCTGCAAGGATTACAATGTGGATATCAAATCGATCGATGTCCTCGGATCCCACGGCCAAACCATCTGGTTGTTGTCCATGCCAGAGGCCGGCGAGACCCGCAGCGCTCTGACTATGGCCGAGGGCACATTCCTCGCCTCGCGCACGGGCATCACCTCAGTCACCGACTTCCGGGTAAGTGATCAGGCGGCTGGACGTCAGGGAGCACCCCTCATTGCCTTCTTCGACGCGCTAGTGCTGCACCACCCAACAAAGCTGCGTGCATGCCAAAACATCGGCGGCATTGCAAATGTTTGCTTTGTCCTCCCGGATAGCCACGGGGGAGTTGACGCCTGCTACGATTTCGACACCGGCCCAGGAAACGTGTTCATCGATGCCGTCGTGCGCCACTACACCAACGGCAAGCGCGAGTACGACCAGGATGGTGAGATGGGAGCCCGCGGTACCGTCGACCAGGTACTTGTGGATGACTTCCTGACACATCCCTACTTCGCGCTGGAACCACCAAAGACAACGGGCCGTGAGGTTTTCCGTGACACTCTTGCTCACGAGTTCATCGTCAAGGCTGAGGCTAAGGGCCTCAAACCTGACGATATCGTCGCTACCATTACCCGTGTCACCGCCCAGGCCATCGTGGACCATTACCGTCGCTACGCTCCTAAGGACCTCGAGATCGCCGAGATATTCATGTGCGGCGGTGGTGCCTACAACCCGAACATTGCCGCCTTTATCCAAGAGAGCTACCCCAACACACGCATTATGATGCTCGATGAGGCTGGTATCCCTGGCGGCGCTAAGGAGGCCATTACCTTTGCTTGGCAGGGTATGGAGGCCGTGGTCGGCCGCTCTATCCCTGTCCCTACTCGTGTCGAGACTCGCCAAGAATATGTCCTCGGTAAGGTGTCTCCGGGTAAGAACTACCGCAACGTCTTGCGTCAGGGCATGTTGTTTGGCGCTGGTCGTGATCATCTTCCTCCAGTAAAGGAGATGATCAACTACATTGACGGCAAGGCTTTCGACAACAAGTGGTAAATACGACTTTCAAACTTCTTTCTATCAAGACCTTTGTATAACGGTTTTGGGATGCATTTATATACTATTTGTATATTTCTCTTTCGGCGCAACCGTACAATTTTAACATACATATATATGCACTGACGAATATAATGTTGTTCCTGGTTACTTTCTCCGCGTTTCGGTAGATATGTCAAATCTAACAATGAAAATAGACCCAACGACAGAATTGTATGTTATGGTGCGGTCTAAGTATGGATCCACTACACTAGTATCATTAGCCTGATAACCCAGTTTTCATTAAGCTCCACGTGGAGTTCGAGACAACATCCTTTCAGCCATTTTGCCAGTACAAAGTACCAATGGCACGTGCCGAGAAAAGTCTAGAGCTACCTATTTACATCGGTGCCTGCTCGGCCCGAGCTTTTACCGGGTCTTTATGATCGTCAGTGGATGCAGTGGACATTTTAGTTCCTTGCTTTTGCTCCATAGTAGTGTGGGGATAGTTTTCTCTCCATACACCTTTTGCTTATTTGGATCTAGATTGCGGGCGAAGCTTTTCCTCGGGTTTGAGGGCTGGTGGTCTTGCGAGGGCGATCCTTTGGCCCCTCTTTCTGAGCAGGTTAGTCTGGATGCGTAGGTGGATAGCTCTGAATTATGTTGATGGAAGAAAATCTTGCTTCAAAACCGTACTTAGAAGAGACGATACGATTAATGAACAATGACCGCATAAACAGGCATCTATATATTAGCGTTAACTTATTAGCTTGAACCACGAGAGCCTCCTATTGAATAAAGAGAAGGACTACCAATAATTCTGAATTAGGAATGCAGGAATTGCAGGGTCGCAGATAATGGCCATGGTTCTAAAATGGTAGTTGCCAAGTTCGAATTTGTTATTCGGGCTACACTAATAGAAACAAGGGTATATCGCAGTTCTCGATGACTGTTGACTGGGGATATATGAATACAAAAACCGGAGTCATGTTGTAGAAACATAAAGGTCGAGAGTTATCTTTGCATTATCATACATTTATCTAACCGAAAAGATGGTAACGACTCGGCTATTGCTCTACGGCTAATTACTTTCACCCTTTTAGCTATGAAAGGGACGACTAAAAAGACAACGTAGTATAAATATAACGTCCCTACCATCTTGAGCCAAATAGATCACTTTATTGAGCTCATACGTCAAAGATAAACGCCGGATAAGCGACTCTTCTTGTTATTAATACATCTAAATCGCGACAAAAGAGTACCAACCCCGATTCACATTGGGTAGTTTTTCCATTTCTAAGTCCATACTTGCTATATAGACCTTACTATTAAGATACGCCACGTGCAATCCTTGCTCGCTTGAAGTATATTGCAAGATCATTATTGTTACACCCGATATCCGACGAACCTATTTTATTTCCGACAGATTCAAATTTATTCAATTCTTCCTACTTTCCGAGGTTATCTCCTTACCCCGCAATGTAAGTAGTGTAACGTTACAGTCTAGAGAAGCTTTGGGGGGTTCAAGGGCTTTAGCGTATCTCGCCAAGATATATTTATCCCGTAATTGTGGCTTGACATGAAGAGTATTAACACCTGAAGATCTGCAATGTCGTACTCATTCACAGGCTAAGTCAAGTGTTCCCCCAATCAACGACCAGCGACATCGGGGAATATTCAACAACTGCCTCTAGCTTACCTCGCTAATATATTTGATATATTACATATCAAGAGAGATGCGCCAAGTTAGGAGCGGGGGGAAGGTGATGAGTTGCCAAGATCATGCCAGACCCCTAGCAGTTCGAACTGAACGTCACCGTGCAGGTTCCTGCACTTTCTACTCTGTTATCGCAAGGCACTACTACGTGAGAGCACTACCATTCAGAAACAGTACCACCTGGGATCACTATCCCCTGTAGATCCTATCTTCTGGGATGCTCGGGATATTCTGAACTGCCGTTGAGGATAGATTGGCTGCATACGACCTAAGAAATTAATCAAATTAAGCCAAACCCCGATAGTACTCCTTTCTAAGGGCTATTACTGCACTCTCCTCGCCATGATGTAACTGATCGTGGCACCCGTCACTTCCAATCTTGGAAGGTAATCAATAAACACCTCAGGGGCAGCAAACCTCACCTTTCCTGGTATTTAAATCACACCCTTGATCATGTTATTTCTTCACACAATGTTTAATGTACACCGCATCACCTGCCTTCGGGTTTTTCTGCTGGCCCTCGCACTTGGGCCGGTCAATGCTACTCCGATTGCCCACAGCGATCTCACTGGCCGTGAACATGGAGGCCCAGCGGTGTGGCCAACTCCTCAACAGCTGATATTAACCGGCGGAAAGGTATCGCTCAAGGCCGATGTAACTCTTGTGACCAACGCGTTCAACGACTCCGCCACAGTATCTATGGTCAAGGAGGTTGTGGCTGCCGCCGGTGGTAATGTTGTTCTCGCCTCCAAGCCCAGCGGTAAAGGCACACAGATTTTCGTTGGCACCGAGGCTGAAGCTGGCGCCGCTGTCGCTGCTGCTAAGGCTCTTGCCGGAAACTCTGCGAATGGCCTCGACGCTGACGGCTACGTTTTTGCATGTGGCCGTTATGAACAAAAGCCAAGCATTGTTCTCAATGGCGTAGACACGCGTGGCACTTTCTATGCGGCACAGACTCTTCGTCAACTTCTCGACGGTGGGCACATTCCCGGCATTAAGGTGCGCGATTGGCCGCTCATGTCTATCCGTGGCTCGATTGAGGGTTTCTACGGTGTCCCTTGGTCTCATCAGGCACGTCTCGACCAGTTTGCTTTTTACGGAAAGCACAAGATGAACACCTATGTTTACACGCCGAAGGACGATCCACTTCTCCGCGCCAAATGGCGCACTCTTTACAGTGGCGATGAGCTTACCCAGCTCAAGGAGCTTGTTGAGACTGCAAATACCAACCATGTCGACTTTACCTATGCTCTTTCGCCCGGCTTAGACGTATGCTACTCATCTGACGACGACTTCGACGCTACTATGGCAAAGTTTAACCAGCTGCGCGACTTTGGTGTCAGCAGTTTCTATATTGCTCTGGATGATATCCCCCTCGAATTCCACTGCGATGCGGACAAGGAGAAGTGGCCCGAAACGAATAACGATGAATGGATCGCCGATGCCCAGGCCTTCTATCTGAACCGTGTTCAGACGGAATACATCGAGCCGAACGATCTCGAAAACCTCGAGACTGTCCCGACCAACTACGCCGGCAGCGCAGCATCCCCGTACAAGACAGAGTTCGGTACCAAGCTAAACATGAAGATCCGTGTTCAGTGGACCGGTGAAGGAGTTTTCAGCGACGATATCACAGTCGACAGCGTTGTGACAGCCGACGCGAGCTACGTCACCGACAACCTGTTCCTATGGGACAACTTCCCAGTCAACGACGGCAACCGTGACCGCCTATTCCTCAATCCGCTCACCAAGCGTGCCGCTGAACTATACAAGCATCTTCTTGGCTTCACCTCGAACCCGATGAGCCAAGCGTATGCCTCTATGGCCGCACTCGCGAACTATGGTGACTATACCTGGAACGGGCCGGCGTATGATGCCACCAAGTCTATGGATGCAAGTCTATGGGAGCTATCGGGTAGTGACAAAACCGTCCACAACGCACTCATCGCGTTTGTCGACCTCAACCAGAACTGGCCGTACCAAAGTCCCGAGGTCAATGCGCCAAGCCTCACCAAGGACATTGCGGCTTTCTGGGCCGCTCGTAAAGCCGGCACCGGTCATGGAACCAAGGCGTTGAAGGATCGCCTCGCACTTATCATCACCATCTCCGATGTTCTCCCCAAAATGGCCACTAAGGCCTTCGCTACGGACGTGGCTCCCTGGGCGACTGTTGCTAGGCAGTGGGCAAACGCTTGCCAGCACCTGATTTGTATGCTCGAGGCACTCGATCGAAAAGATCAGAGCAAGGCAGATGCCGAGTTCAAGTCCGCCAAGAAGTGGGTTGAGAAGACGAAGGCTAAGACTGTAGATGATCGCAACACGGAGGGAGAAGACCTGCCTAACTCCATTATCCCAATCACTGGGGATGGGGCGTTTGATACGTTCCTAAGTAATGCCACGGCTATTTACAATGATAAATAGATACGGGTACAAGTTTGGTAGTATACGTCGGATAGACAGATATAATGCACGCGTTGTACAGGAAATGATAATATTGATATAAAAAACTGGTCAGTGTCGTATTGTTGTAATATTAAGCAGGAAAGTTACTATCATTTGCTAGATTCAAAGAAGTACGCCAAAACAAATAGCAGAAGAAACTACGTGCAACATATCCACTCAAGTTTTGGTAGTCTGATCCCACAGACTGCGCACAGTAACACCATCCACCCACTTCCCCTTAGTCTCATCCTTCTGCACAACGAACCGAAGAGTCCGTTTCTCGCCAGGAAGTAAAGAGAACGAGTTATCCTCAAAGTATCCCACCACACCAGCGGGGTAGTCAAGCCATGTATACAGCGAAACAGCATTCCGGGCTTCGACGCTGAACGTGCCAGTATGGGCGTCGTGAGACAGCTTGAGTCCCGGGTCTTTTAATGCTAGATCTTTAGGGAAGACGGGCGTAAACTGGTTCCGGTGTGTGAACGTAGTCAAGGTCTTGCTTTCCGTGTTCGGGAGACGGCCCTGAGCAGTGAGATCAATGACCAGGATAGCGTCCTTTGTATCAGGCAGAGAGAGCTTCGCAATGTTGGTTTCGTAGATACTGGTAGTATTGAGTGCCCCAACAGAGAATTGTTTGGTCAAGGGAGTACCCGCGTTCCCTGGGATTGGCTTGCCGGACAAGTCTGTCCAGGTAAGATTCACCGTTCCCCGGACAGTCTCCCAGAGATCCGATGTCACATAGATATCCAAATCGCCCGTCGAATAGTTCCAGAATGGCGAGACGATGACGGGTTGGAAGATGTCACGAGCGACGTAGTGTAGGACTTTCCAGCGACCGTCATACTCGATCCCAGCCCACGTCGGAGCTTGCCAGATATCTTCAAGTTGCCAGTACAAGGATCCGAGCTGACGCTCTGGCATTCCGCTTCCGCGACGGTAGAACTGAATCTCTGATTTGTACATGTCTGCTTGGAAAAGCTGGGTTGCGTGGCACCAGGCACTGAAGTTTGCGACGGAGTCTTGCTTGTTGGGGATCGGGTAGTATCTCTCCACTGCTAGGGTCATTTCGGCCATGCCCATAGACGACTGAGTGTAGTTGTGGGTCTCTGGGCCGTTTACTGGGTAGTGGTGGTTTCGGGACAAGATGGTGCTGCTGTTGAAGTGGAGGTCTTTATCGTCCAAGGCTTGTTGCCATGTTTGTAGACTCGGCATGCTGTGGTAGCCGAATTCGTTGGCGAAGCGGCCGACTGGGTAGCCGGTGAAGTCAAAGGCCTCATTGCTGTTATAGTTGTAGTAGTCGGTATCACCGTAGTAATGTTCTTTTTCTTCTGTGCCGTTATCGTAGCGCTCCGCCATAGGAACTGGAGCAGACAGATCGACTTCTAGGAAGCCGTTGTTGGTGCTACTAGGCATGTATGAGATCGATCGCGAATTCTCGTAGACAAGCGGAAGAATCAGGGAGATAAATAGATGTTCGTAATCGCCAACCAAACGGGGGTATGATGCAGGATCATGTTTCTTAGCGGTTGGTAACATCAAACTTTCAATTTCATTTCCACCAGCCCACAAAGCCAAAGATGGATGATGGTTGACCCGTCTAACGTTGTAGACGACTTCAGCAGCAACGTTGTCAAGGAACGGTTGGTCCGTGGGATACAGAGCATCACTGAATTGGAACTCGCTCCATAACAACACTCCGCGTTCGTCGGCAAGATCGTACATGAAGTCCGGAAGGTAAGCGCCTGAAGCCCAGACTCGAAGCATATTCTGATTTCCAGCGACAACTGCATCAAAGAGTCGCCGCATCTTGGTCTCGGTGACTCGCGGCCAGAAAGCATCCGGAGGAATGAGGTTCGAGCCCTTGGCGTAGAACTCATGACCATTTACCTCGAAATGCCAATTCGCGCCTGGTGCGATACCCTGAGCCAACTGCCCTTCAGTGATATTGGCTCGATTCAGGAAGATAGTACGGAAGCCAGTGCGCTTAGTTATGCTGGCGAGGACCTGGTCTTTGTTCTGGATTGTGACTGTGACATTGTATAGGCTCTGCTTGCCCAAACCTGTGGGATACCAGAGGCTCGGTGCATCTGCATCCACTATAGTGGTACCGGTGATAGTCTTTCCAGATACAACAACGTTATCGAGGGATCCGGACTTCAAAACTTTGCCCGACTCGAGGTCCTTGATCTCTATAGACATAGATGGGCGCGTAGGTAGGGAGCCGAGATAGTCAATACTTGCATTCACCACCCAGGGCTGACTCTGATTGGGAGCAAGGTGATTGATCTGCCCCTTTCGATAGATGTCAATGTCTGTGTTTAGAACATATACATCTTCCTCGCCCTTCGACTGCACCAGGTAGATATTCTGCCATGGCCCAGCAGGCGAGAACGCTGGGCCCCAGTCCCAACCAAAGTCGGACTGTTCTTTGCGAATATACCAGCGGTTAGGGAATTCAAAGATCCCTTGAACACCACTAGGCCATTCTGTAGACATTGTCAGACATGATATGATGTCTTATCCCTTTGTTGGACACTTACGTTGAGAGTTTGGATCAGCAGCGATGGCATTTGCAATCTTGATCGCACTTCCAAACTCGAGAGAGACGGTTGGAGAGCCGTTGCAATGTTTTAAGGCATTGGAAATTTCAAAAGTGTACTGCCGGAACTGATTATCTGTATTTCCTATAAATTGACCACAGAACTCGATTGTTGTGAAGGTGTCAAGCCCATTGAATACAAGCCAGGAAGACTTGGAGCTGCTTAACCTGTGAAGAGTCAGCTGGGATTTTAATTGGCACAGCGGAGAACACAGACAATCCGTTAATTGGTTTACTTGTATAAGTCCAATTATTCTCTGCGATCCAACGCAAGTTGAAGTCATTCAAACCATAGTAGCTTCGAGGTAATTCGATTTAGTATAGAGAAAATGTAGGAGAAACAAGCGTTCAACTAACGGTTCATCTGCTTTTATTAGATAAATTCATCGTTTGGACTAGAAAAGACTTACCAATAACATTGGCAGCAAGAAGATCCAAATGCGCCTGTGAAGGAACACGACCAGGGACGCTAATATTCAGCGCCTTGCTACTAACAGTCCATCCATCACCACTCAGATCCAAAACATTCTGCGCAAGAGTAGTCGGCAGCAATGACGGGAACACTCCCAACACAAGCTGATTCCAAAAATACATCGCGTTCAAACTAAACTATTGCCGAGATGTTGCAAAATGAGGGGTTTCGCTCCAATAAGTATGTCCTATTTATCTTCAACTCTAGCACAAGAGGTGAAACATTGGACCGAAAACAAACAGGTGACATACAGAAAGTACAATGCTAACTTATGATGTCCTTCAAGTTGCATAGAGTGGGGCGACACAGTCTGGGGCATTGTAGTCCGAGGCCTTGAAGCGGGGGTACTGAAGGAAACACCCCCTCGCGGGGAAAAAGTAACGGTAGCAGCGCTAATGTACGAATTGCGATGATCCCGGGGATAAATTCCGTTCCGATTCTGGGCTCATTCGTGTGTGGCGCTGTACAACGGTTAAGAGTGTTAGTGCTGAAGCTATAGACGGGAAGGCTTAAGGCTTAAGGCTTACTTTCTCAGTGGGGTCCACGGGCTATATGTAGCGGATATGATGATGCGGAATTCAATCTTATATTCTCACAACATCTACATATAGAAGGCATGCGCAAAGTATGTATTTTACGTAAATTTTAGCTACAACCCCAATAAAGAGGAAATATCTAGAGAAAAGACGTAGGAAAGAACTCTAAAAATGGCTACAAGGATCCTAGTTATGTTATTGAGGATGTATTTGTTAAGGCTTTTCTGCCTAAGGCGGATAGGATCCTTACTCCTTGGATTAATCTTCCTTCCTTTTCGGGGCTGTCGCTCTCCGTCAACAGCTTAACCCAATCCATCATTTCTTCACCATATTGCCTTCTCCACACCATCACACATAGTACACAAAGGTACAATAAATGGAATGAGCCCCCTGGATTCCAAGCAGCAATGAAGACATGTCAAGCAATCCCTGAGTGAGACAGCTCATCCGCGCAACCAGGCATGTCCTAACCCCCCTTCGACAATCGGCACCCTCGATGCAGCCTTTAACAAGTTCGCGGTCTGAATTTGGCTGCCCCCCGTTTATCACGTTATAGGATCGATGGGTGTCTGTAATCGGCACGTCAGCGATATCTTACACTCGGAGCCTTCAAGGGATCAGGAACGAAGGCAAGCCGCTCTCGCTTTCCATGTCAAAATTGACTACCACCATGTCCACACTGAAAGCCTTGGCCAACGAAGGTCGAGGAGATCCAGTTTCTAAACAGGCCGCCGGAAAAGGCGAGCTAGAGGTCTCGTTCCTGCCGAGTCCGGGTATTCCAAAAAATTCTGTATATCTTTGATGCCACCAAACGGCAATCCAACAATCACCTGCACAGACCATGGGAGCACCGCCCGCATGGTGCGGTCTACCGCCCTAACCTTCAGGCCCGTCAATCGGGTGAACATACGCGTGCCCTCCGGGATCTGGCAAAACATGTTTGGCCAGTTCTCTCTGGCAGAAGGTACTCTGCCATGGAAACAATGCAGCTCCTGATCTGCAGGAATTTGCGCCAACCATACAAAGCCTAAGGGCAGACGGCAGTATATTGTTTCCCTGAATGAACTTTCCCAAGCTTTTTACGGACTTTCCGCCGGACCTCACATGTCTTCCCGACCAAACCACATGGTTAGTCCAGAAGAGCACTCTGTTCGATGAACCCACACTAAATACTAAACAGAAGCCAAAATAAATATGATGTGTGTTGCCATCGCCTCTCCATGGATGGTATCTCATATGATGAAGCGTTCTATTGGCAATATTAACATGATAAAAGGTCCTACAAATACCTAGCTAGAACGTCTCAATGCATTTGACAGCTCCTGGTCAAGTTTCTGGCCGGTGTTATACAAGATCGACTTCAACCGGAACGCTGAGGTACGAAGAGAGAGGATAGACCATGGCTGCCAAGTATCTGCATGGACATTCGGTATCCCTTAGGGGTTTGTCCAATTGAAAACACAGCTAATGCAATGATATTTACTCTATTCTATACACGCTTCTTTATATCTGTACAGATGTCCACGGTTGATCTGCTAGGTCAGGTTCTTGCGCATCGTCAATACATCAGTCTGTGTAAACCCAAGTCTATCGATGAGATAGCCCTCAACCCCGTTTCTGTAGGATTTCTCAAATGATACCAGGAAATCCGCCATGGACGTGGCCCGAACTCCACATAGTTCGAGCATACCCACTGCCTCAGGGCTCAACTGGCTAACGTCAACTCCATCAGTTCCCAAGTTTACCGCAGATGCCTGCATGAGATTTTCTCGGGCGCTTTCCAGTCCGACTCGAGTGAGGATGTAATCGTAGATAATGTCGTGATGGGGTCGATTGATCAGGAGGAGAATGAGAGCGGCGAAGACACCCGTGCGATCTTTACCGGCTGCGGATACGAAGTTTTGGTTAGCATTCATCGGTTATAAATAGGGTTGCACGCGACTGGAGCAAGGTGATACACTTGGGACATACCTGAACAATGAACGATGAACGGATCGTCCGGGTTATCTCTGATATGCTTGAATATCTGTGTGAAACACGGGGCAGCCGCTTCGAGGACGCCAAAGTACATCTTCACGAACCCAGCAGCGCCCTTATCTGGGCCCGCGAAATCACGGAGGTTCAAGGTAGCCGGTCGGGCTCCATATGGTAACCATACCGTATCGACTCCTGTGATAGAAGGTGCTGGGGCTTTTTGTCGCTCGCCTTCATTCCGCAAGTCGAAGATGGTGGTGATTCCCAATTCGGCTGCGATGATGGATTTCCCGGGCCCCAAGATGTCGGACAAGTTTCCGGACCGATACACGAATCCTGGGCGTAATTTGTTGCCATTGTGGCTCAGATCGCGAAAGTTGGAGACACCTGGTATAGGGATGAATGGTGGCAGGGATGTGATCCGGGTTACGAGAGCTTGGGGAATGGGAGTCCTGATATCGGTATTTAATATCTCGCGGATTTGATCGGTTTCATGCATGGTTTGATTGTATAGAGGAATTGAAGATTGAAACATAGAGACCAGAAATCAACAGACATAATATATCAAGATATAGAGAGAGCTCTTTCCAACTATGTCATCGTCTCCATCAAATAGTGGAGCCGACGCCGGTGCAGGCACCCAATGTCATCATATCTGATGACGATCTCAGACATTTTCCAGGAACACTTCGTAGCTTACAAGAATTACCAGATGCACCGGTTTTAATAGTATCATTAGTAGGATTTTTGGTAGTAAACTTAGTAGTCTTCTCGGATATTTGTTGATATAACTTCCCCTCTTATTGGTGGGTTTGACCCAGTTTATACACCCGGACTATGCTTGACTTGATACTCACGCAACTCTTAGAAAATGAGACAAGACCATTTTCAAGGCAACATAGCAAACGAAATAGCAAACAGGATTTACATTGCCCTTTATGTACTTCGTGTAACTTCAGCTTCCCACCAATCAACCTTCTCAAAACAGACTTATCCATCTAGCCATGGCATCCCCGGGGATCAACGCCAGAGTGAGAGACTTGGAAACGGATAGAGAATGGCGCATCAGCGTGGCAGTCTTCCGATACCAACAGAACGGCCACTACGCCGTCCTACTTCTGAAACGAGCCACCGGCACCGCCACATTGGGATGGTGGAATCTTCCAACGGGCCCAGTTCTACACACCGATGCTACCATTCGCGACGCCGTGAAACGCATAGTCCTCGACAAAACCGGTCTTGGACTCCAGGGCTACCACATCATCCAGGAGGTAGACACCTTGACGTGGGGTTCTGAAGAGAAGGTCGTCGTGAAACTCAACTTTGTCATTCATGATACATCTGCCGACATAGTCGCCATCCACCGCAACGAGTTCTTCGAGTATGAATGGGTGGAAGAGGAACAGATTGACTCTCTCACCATCCCTGTCTCGATGCAGGAGGTCATCCGCGATGGGTTTGAATTACACCACTTGGGGGCCCTTAATTTTTGAATCTTCATGGTAGAGATGGAACAAGAAGACAAAGAATACAATCAATTGAGATCTTTGAATGATGTTCATTGTTTACTTCAGTACAAAATAGTTATCCTCTTCCCCGCATCAACCGGATACTCGGTTGGCCGCGGAGTGACGCTAAATGCCGATGCCAACCGCCCTCCGCACTCCCCAGATTTAACAATCAAAGACAACCTAAGAACCTCTCACCCTTTCTCCCATTGAAACAAATCAAAGCAACAATGTTAATAACAAGAGAGAGCAAAATGTCTCTAAAGATACTGACTCGCAATGGCCTTCGCAGCCAGCCCGTAACTACAGCGCGCATCATCCCCGCACGGAGGTGGAGTAGCTCCATCTCGCAGCCGCCGGGTGCAGACAGGTGAGCGGATCGCTTCAAGGACAATGTTTTTTTTTTTTTTTTTGGAAAATGCTGACGAGGTGTTTATGCGTATAGCGTTCGATTCCCAGGGGCTGTGAACAGCAAGTTCACCTCGGAGATGGCCTTCCTCAAAGCCTCAGATCTGCCCGCTATCCCTACCTACCGAGTGATGGACTCGGACGGTTATCAGGTTGATAAGACGAGACCAGCGCCCGATGTCACAAATGAAGAGGTCTTGTCGTGGTATAAGAATATGCTGTCCGGTGAGTTACCCCACACTTGAGGCGATATAGTACCTGACTTTTGGCGTGCAGTAAGCGTTATGGATGTGGTTATGTTCGAGGCACAACGGCAGGGTCGCCTAAGTTTCTATATGGTATGTTCAATTCATCAAGAATAATAACATTGCGTATCTGACCGGCTACCTGTAGGTTTCCGCCGGCGAAGAAGGCATCACAGTTGGATCCGCCGCAGCATTGACACCAGACGATGTGGTCTTTGCACAATACCGCGAAGCCGGTGTATTCCAACAACGTGGATTTACACTGAAGAACTTTATGAGCCAGCTCTTTGCCAATTGCAATGATACAGGCCGTGGTCGAAATATGCCAGTCCACTACGGACAAAACTATCCTCGCATGGTCAGTACAACCACCCCTTTACAACAGCACCATTTCCCCTAACCTTACACACCCAACAGCACACAATCTCATCCCCATTAGCCACACAAATTCCCCAAGCCGCCGGCGCAGCCTACGCCCTCAAACTCCAAGACCTCCAAAACCCAAACCGGGACCCACGCATTGTGGCCTGCTACTTCGGCGAAGGAGCCGCCAGCGAAGGCGACTTCCACGCCGCACTGAACATCGCCGCAACACGATCCTGCCCGGTCGTCTTTATATGCCGAAATAACGGCTACGCAATCTCCACACCAACGCTAGAACAGTACCGAGGCGATGGAATCGCCAGCCGCGGCGTGGGATACGGTATCGACACGATCCGCGTCGACGGCAATGACATCTTCGCCGTAAACGAAGCAATGAAAGAAGCACGTCGACTCGCCCTAAGCGAGGGCGGACGGCCAGTTCTAATCGAGGCCATGAGCTACCGTGTCTCGCATCACAGTACCAGCGACGACAGCTTTGCGTACCGTGCCCGCGTCGAAGTTGAGGATTGGAAACGCCGTGACAATCCCATTATTCGGCTGCGTAAGTGGTTGGAGAACCAGGGGATTTGGAGTGAGGAACAGGAGAAGCAGACGCGGGATGAGATGCGCAAGGCCGTGTTGAAGGAGTTTGGGGAGGCGGAGCAGGAGAAGAAGCCTTCACTTCGCGAGGCTTTTGCTGATGTTTATGAGGAGATTACTGAGGAGCAGAGGGAGCAGATGGCAGAACTTAAGCGCATCTTGGAAACTTATCCTGATGAGTATGATCTGCGGCCGTATAAGGATGGGATTAATGGTTTGGATTGAGAGGGGTTGTCTCTGCCAAATATACATGCGACCCTTGGGGCGTTAGATTATTATATTAAATACGAGAGCTATATTTATATAGATTTCATTGGTGCTCACAGAAATGATAGTTTCTTTTATTATGTGATGCTTATTGAATATTCCGGCTCATTGGTTTATGGGGTCTCGACGAAATATAAAAACCCTAATACCGACTATACCCCCTGCGCCTCGCAATCCGACTTTGCGCAACAGCAACAGCAACCTTAGGCACCGAAGTGAGACTCATATAATTATCATCCGAAGCTAGATAAATGGCACCAAGCCCCATATCCTTCGCCAACCGAACAACATCACTAACATCGGCATCCTCGGGCGTCTGATTCAAAATAACAGCACTCTGTTCATAGTGATCAGGCGTCGAGAAATTCTCATCAGGAGACCGAGCCACCCAATTAGCATAAGTATTCTCATACTCGACAATAAAGTCCGCGGCGGCGAACCACTTATCAGCATCAGCGACGAGCTTAACACCAGGGTTGAAGATAACAGTGTTCAAGCTACTGCTCTTAGATTTCATCGACAGGTTCTGAAAATAAGCTAATTTGCTCGGATCTTCGCCATTGGGCGCCTCGTCGAAGAAGATTCCGGAGAGACGGATATTCTTCCCTGTGTAGGTGGCCCATTTGGCGTAGGTAGCGATCTCCTTTTCGACTTCAGAGCTAGCTCGTGTTCCTTGTTTTGTATGGGTGTAGCCCAGTAGTTTGGTGTTGGGATAGCTATTTAGCTTCGTAATGGCGGTTATGAAGACTTCTTCTGGATATTCTGTGTCACCGGGACCAGTAGATGGGTTGATGATTAGGTAGAATGGGATCGAAGGATAGGCTGCGATTGAGTCGTAGATTGTATTCCATGCGTCTATGCCGGGCCAGGCATATAGTGGCACTAGTAGGCCGGTTGATATGACGGTTGAGGCTAGGGTGAGCACGGTGGCTATGATGGAAAGTAGTTGAAACATCATTGTATATGTTGGGTTGAACGTGAGCGGGTAAACGAATGAATGTAGCACCCAGAGGGGCCAATGATGTAGAAAGGAGCACAAGGAAAGAAAAAAAGACCAAGACTGGCGGGAAATAGTATACTCAGTGAGTAATGCACGCTATAAAAATGCCAGTCCAGAGATTCCGGGAAATAACGTCCTATGGGAAGAAAGGGATCGGATAGCTACAGCAGAGCCAAAGATCAGCTTCAATACCTATTGTTTCCAGTTCGAAAGTAGAAAGAGACCTAAAATAACAACAATCAGCCACATGTTTCAAGGGCCAAACACCTTGTACGGAGTACACATGGCAGAGGATTCATTCGCCCTGAACAGTCACGTAGCCATCGTGTGATACCAAGAATGAGCTACTGTCGGATCCCTTCGGAGGAATGAGTCCTCATTAAATGTCTGGGCTTGATCAAAATGTACGGAGTAGAGGAATGTGGAAGTCAAAAGGTCCAGCCCCGGCGGAGTCGGTGATTGATCCCTTCGCACATCCCCTTGTTGACCTGTAATTATGATATTTTAAGCCATGTTAACCGGCTCAAATATGTTTTTGACTTGCAATGCTGCAGTTTAGTGACGCTGGGCCCCTCGGTCTTGAATTTCCGGTTTCGGATCTGGAGATTTGGCAGGCAGATTTGGGTGCAATATATATCACGTCCAAGAACAACCCAGAGTAAATTTCGAAGATGTTTCGATATTCATTTCGCGTGAGGGAGTCTCTTAATCAAAATTGTTTGCTCATTGCTTGTCAAATGCAGTATTGAGGATAGGCCTAGAACGTGCATGTCTGCAGGAAATGTTGGAAATTAGATTACTAAGACCTACGTAGACAAATATCACAAAAGTGTACAATGATTCATTCAGGCTAAGATAGATATTGATACAGAATGGATAGAACGCTAAAAATTCCACCATCCGGGGTATCATGCAAATCCATATGTACATGCATAGAAATCCCAAGTCGGCCTAGGAATACGCGATCGCAAAGAGGACTGACAGCTCCGATCCAAGAGAGTCAATGGTTGATTACACTTCCGATCCAGCAGCGAAGTTCAATGCCTGCTGCTGAAGCTTCTTGTTGCGCCGAAGCAGAGCAGCGAACTTCTTGTCTAGTGAATCCATTTCTTTCCGGGTGAGCTCGAGGTCCTTCTGAGAACGACCAGAGAGATCCTTAAGTTCCTCGTTGGTCAAACCAGCAACGTCGTCGAGGGTTGGGTTGGGACCGACCATGCCCGGATTTCCCAACATGTGCTGCGCGGTAACTGCAGCAAAAGAGCGCACGGCAGCAGGGGTGGTGTTGAGAAATTCTGCCGAGTTGGCGACGGCCCAGTCATGATTGCGGGTGCTGTCTGCTTCCATGGCCGAGAGGACGTTAGGCGGGATCACGGACTCCGCTGCCTCAAGAGAAGAGGACGGGGACGTGGCACCCAGGCGAGTGGGCATGTCGTCGACCCAGCAGATGTTGAACTTTTCCGGGTTCGCGAAAAGTGCTTCCAGACCTCCACTTGGATTGCTCGCGTCATCTCCAATCATGAAAGGATCGGAGATACCGGCCATGTTCTTCTCCAGCTCGAGGTACCGCTCCTCCTCTTCTGGCTCGAGGTGACGCAGGACACAGCCGCGGGGCGTGATGAGGCATCGAGTCTTGAGGAAATCATCCCCAATTCGAACGGGCTCTCCACGAAGCAGAGTTTTCCGATCCTCCTCAGTCAACTCATTAGGACACTGAAGATAATCATAGTCCTCCGCAGTGCACTTCATGTCGGTGCGCTGGCTGAGGTTGCTAGGGTTGAACAGGGAACTTTTGTTGAGGTTAAGTTCGCCGGACTTGTGCATCTCAGCGAGCAACTCGTGTAGAGGCTTAGTTCGTTCCACGAAAAGATCCTTGATGGCCCTTCCAAGCGCCTCGGAATCCTTGACCAACTGTCCAACTGTATTGTTTGAACGCCATGGCTCTACGGGGGCTTCCTTCTGAACAGGCAACTCTTCGACAGGGGGAGGAGTAGGCTCTCTGACAGGCTTGGTCTCCTTGACTTTCACTTTCTTCGGGATAGTATCAACCTTAGGTTCAGCCTTGACTGGAGAAGCGCTCGCTGGTTTGACAGGGCTCGCTTTTTCGGGGCGACTGGGAGCGGGTGCATCGGCTGTGCTCACAGTAGCTGCGGGGGCCTTCTTGGTCTTGCGCTTTCGCCCCATAATAGGGGCTTGAACAGGCTCCTCATTTACAGGGGCAACTTCGACCTTCTTAGCCTCGGCCTCCTTCGCCTTCTGCTTCCGTTCCTTCTTGACCTGGCTCTTGGTCATGGAGCGAACGGGGGCGGAGCCGATACGAGAAGAAGCAGGAGGCGAATTAGCACGAGAAGCAGATGTGGAAGGATAGTAATCAGCTTCCCATCCCATATCAGCAGGAGTGTCGGGGATGCTGGTTGACTCAATGCTCTGTCTCCTAGAGCGGGACTTGGTACCTCCAACAACAGAAGCGGGCACAGAGGGTACCGTGACAATTGGAGGGGTTTCTGGCTTTGGGGTTTCTACCACCCGCAGAATACGAGGCTGACGAGGGGCAGGGGAGTCAGAGAGGCGGGATGCGAAGGTTTGAGGGGTGTCAGGTCGCGAGCCGATTGCGGAAACAGAGCTAGGAGGTGGTACCTGCTCAGTCCTGATCGATGAGGCTAGCGGGGAGCCAAAATCGAGTGGGGTGCCTTTCGAAGTGGCAGAACTCGGCTGCGACTGGTTTGCAGCCTTTGTAGGGGAATCTTTGAAATCAGCTCCAATGTTGAACTCGCTCTTGCGTTGGGTACGAGCCTTGCTCGCAGACTTCTGCACGGGCGATCCAAACGAGATTTGAGAAGCGTCCTTCACACGGCTTGATGTCAAAGGCCCACCCACGGTGAGCTCAGGACTCAAAAGACGAGAGGGGCTGTCAATGCGGCTCTGCGATGGGCTATTCAGTCGCGAAATGCTGGGCGTCAAGCCAGGTGGGAGAATCGGGGCAGGAGACGAAGGTTTAGAGGAACTGTGTTCCTGGAAGATAGAAGACGAGGGATGAGCGTGAGGTAGAGGGAGTCCAGGTGGAAGAGTCGGAGTCCCAGCACGAGCAGCTGACTCGCTAGGTAACTGGGACTTCAAAAACCCAAAGCTGTCAACGGGTCGTCGATCCTTCGATTGATCTCCAAGAGGGGGAAAATCCTCATTTACTAGAGCATTGGGTCAGCGAACGTCCAAGAATGCAAAATGAGTGGCAATGTGAGTGGTCAGATGAGGGGAGGTAAACATCAGATCGGAATCGCCTGAGACGATGGTGACGACTAAGCAGCAGCAAGACTAAGCGAAGATACAAAAAAGAGCACGAGATAATTACATGATGGGCATCTCCCGGACCAGGAACATTGCGGGACTGGGCGTCTATGTAAACGGCGGCTGTGAGGAAACTGATTTCGAATAAGACCCTTTTCGGCTTGTGGTATCAGGGTAGGGAGATCTTAACGTACATTAATCCATAATAAACACCCGTGGTCTTCAAGACACAGCAGATCGTATAATGGAAGTCCGGATGCAAAAACAGTAGAAAGGGAATACACAGCCGCCGAATACAAAGGGAGCCCGGAACACACGCTGTTATGTCCATATGCAAAGACACCTGCAAAGAGCCAGAGAAAACATGCAAGAAATAGATAGCAATTGAAGGAGGCGGGGAAAAGACCATAGTACGCCAGGTGAACGTTCAGCCATCGCATATATCAGAGCTGCCAGTCTGACCGCGAATAAAACAGGAACAACAAATGCAGGGCCTCCATAGAGAGGGAAACAAGAAAGGGAATTGATATCATGTCATCAGGATAAATCAGGCCCGTCAAGGGAAGAAGGTCATAGCGAAAAAGCAAGCAGGATAATGCAGGAAATCAAATCACGGGAACAATAGGTTAAAGGGAGACCATGGGGATTCACCACCGGCTGATGCCACCGCCATACACCATCGAGGGGTTGTACCCACCTTGACCCTGACTCCCGTACAACGCTTGCCCAGCAGTAGCATTCGCACCGACTTGATGCATTCTCGCCTGCAAAATGCTCGGGTCCGCAAGATCTACTACACCACCTCCACCGGAGGAAGTGTTAGCGTGTCTGTGCTTCTTCCCCTTCTTCTTCTGCTTCTGTGGGCCACCGGAATCAGGCATTACGCCCGTCTGTGGCCCATAGAAGGAGCTGAGAAGGCCATTGACAGGAGTCATGGGGGGCGGGGTATTGTGCTGTTGAAGAAAAGGGAACATGAACTCACGCTTAGCTGCCTCCTGGCCCTGTAAACCACCAACATTCGTACCAGTTCGTCCACGCAGTAGCTCGCGCATTAGCTCCGGAGTTGGATCTTGCTTTCCTCCATTACCACTAAGCCCAGAAGTGAAGCCGTGTCCTTGGGCGAACATTCCACCACCACTAATCGGAGGTGTGCCGGCCGTCTTTAGTCCTGGTGGGGGACCCTGCACACCACTGGCGTAGAAACCGCTTGCTGCAAGACCGTGTTGAGGGCTTGGAGCAGAAAGAGGGTTGGGAGATGAAGATTGCATTTGACCCAACATGCGTGCGTTAACCATATTCTTGGAACCGGCCTCATTGGCGAAGGAGAATCGGGAAGACTGTCGGCTCTGTGCTGCCTGCAGCGCATTGAACTGTGCCATCTGATTTTGCACAAGGCCTTGGCGGACTTGGGCGGCTTGGTCCAGAGCGGCAGAGCTGAGAGGGTCAGCCAGACCAGCCTGTTGATTACCGGCGGACTTGAGTAGCATCAACTGTTGTTGCTGCAAGGGAGTTAAGCTTCGTCCAGCGAGGTTCAAGCCTTGGAATTGATGGCTAGTCGCAGAGACAGGAGATCCAACAGTTGAGTTGTCCGCAGTGTCATGCTGCGAAGGGGGCTGGATAGCACCGTGAGATTCCCGCGTCTGGCGACTGCGCGGGGGATTTACTTCCTCTGGCTCACCACCTAGCTGGAGGCTACCAGCTTCACGGCTATCCTCTTCGGCTGCAACAGATTGGAGCAACTCATGCTCGCGGCTCAGACGCTCTTGTTCGACTTTCTCGCGCATTGCTCTGCGCTTGACGCCGCCGTATGGATCGATGAAAGATGGGTAATCCTTGATCAACTTGACCTCTTCCTCAGTCAATTCGGCCGTGCTGAAGGAAAACTTGAAATCCGGAGAGTTGATATCCTTGAGCAAACCGTCAAATGGTGATGGGAGCTTCGGAGGTTGTGTCACACGGCGAGGACGTGGTTGCGGGGCGGGAGATTGGGGATCGACTTGGGAGGGTGGAGGTGGGGCTTCTTGGGAAATTGGAGATGGCTTCTCTGCTCGCTTCGGTTCTTCAACAGGAGTTGCAACAGGGGTCGCAACAGGGGTCGCAACATTGACACTAGCGGGCCGTGGGCTATTAATTGAGGCTTGGCTACCAGTGAGACTAGTCCGTCTAGCTCGATGAATAGCAGCGTCCTTGTTAGCCCAGCTGGCAGTTGACGGGAGAGCCGGGCCATCTGGTATGCCGGTGCGACTACTGATAGAGTCATCCTTGCTCGGTTGCCGGCGCATAGGATGAGCGATGGGTTGAGCGGACCTCACATGAGAGGGAGTAGGCGGAAGATTTGGGCGTTGGGTGGAAATCGTGTTCATTGATGAGAGGTCCTGGCGGCTGTAGCTGTCGCTGTCCTCCCCAGTCTCGTGCAAGAAAGTGCAGTTCCGATTATTGCACTGCTCATTGCGAAGGAAGGACGAGCAATATTTGGTTGTTCCGTATTGCGCCCTGAGCACTCGATCGCCATTTCCGGAACCGTCCACGGCATTGATGCACATCGCAGCGTCGACTTTGCGCGAGAAAGTCACATAAACACCAATTCCCTGGTTGGGGTTGCCGCCGGGCTTAGCCTTGCTGACCACGATCTTCTCAATCTCGCCATATTGACCGAAATATTCCCGTCCACGGAGCGTTTGAAGGAGCTGATTTTCGTCTCGGATCGTAGGGTTGAGGCCGATAACGTAGACCAAGTTCTTTTGGACAACACGGACACCGGCCAAGTTCTTCCGACTGGAAGCCTCGATTTCCCGTTTTTCGGCTTCCTTCTTTTTCGCAGCAGCCGCCTTGCGGTGTTTCAGTGCCAGATCTGCCTTGAACCTAAACACAGCAGGTTAGTTGGGATGTGGCGAAGATATCACAGAGCATGGGTTGACTCACTCCTCAACGTCGGGAATCTTGTACTGGATGGTACTTTCATCGTATCCGCGCCGACAGTTAGGGCATCGTCCTTCTTCATTCTGCGTTTTAATGTTGTTGTAGCAGAATTGGCAAATCTAAAAACATCACATGTCAGGTGTGGCACAAGGAGACAAAGACGAGCGATCTGTCTCCGTCACAACAAAGGGAGTAGTGGCAGAGACATATCAAGGATCACGATCGGGACTTACCTGATATCCACAAGGACACGGTTTAAAATTCTTATCGGAGAGATCGAACTCTTCAATGCACAGGGGGCTGTGTGGTCATTAGTACACAGATCGCGCGGGTTGAATGAGCTTCAAGACGTACCAGAACTCGTCGTCGTCGTCGATGACGGAATCGATCAGTGAAATACTAGACATGATCGCGGGGAATACGGTGAGAACCGGAGAGGGACACGAGATCTCAAACGCCGACACCTGATTAAATCGGATGAGAAATTGGGGAAAATAAAAGAGATACGCTGCCCGGTAAAGTGTAGAAAGACGAACGGCGATTAGATGTTTGAGGAGGAGCGAGAAGAAGAGAGGGCAAAAGAAAGGGTGGCGATGATTGATAGAAGAGGATGAACGGAGAGAAGAAGGAAGGAAATTGTGAAGCGCGGCTTCATTTTGCTGGCATTGCCCGATTGAGTTTAGCGTGTGCCCAACACGTGACCAAAAGTGCTCGACCACTCTAAACCTTCACAATCCAACTTACGTGCCTCCGTCCCCTCCTCCCGTTGCATCTGCCATTGCTCCCTCTACACAATGGCCTCCGCACGCTCTTTGATGCGCCTGGGTTCTGGACGCTCTGTGGCATCCGCCACGAGGTCCATGGCCGCCCGCACCTTTTCCTCCGCCTCCCTTCAGTGTGCCCCCAAGGCCTCGACAGCACCGGGCCCGGAACCTGAGAACATGCGCCAGGCGCAGCGCCCGCGTATGTGCAATGGACTAGTCGATAGATGGGACACAATTGAGCTAACCGAACTGTGATTTGCCAGCCCAGGGACCCCTACGCGCCCCCGTGGTCAACCCTACCGACAAGTACCAGCCCATGGCCGACAGCCTTCACGCCTATGGGCAGTACGTTATGTCTTGTCTGCCCAAATATATCCAGCAGTTCACTGTGTGGAAGGATGAGCTCACCGTTTACACCGCTCCCGCCGGTGTTGTTCCCGTGATGAGCTTCCTCAAGAACCACACTGCCGCCGAGTTCACCCAGATCTCCGATATCACTGGTGTCGACTTCCCCACCCGCGACCAGCGCTTCGAGGTCGTCTACAACCTGCTCAGCGTTCGTCACAACTCCCGCATCCGTGTCAAGACCTACGCGGACGAGGCCACCCCCGTGCCCAGTGTGACTGGTCTCTTCGAGGGTGCTCTGTGGTACGAGCGTGAGGTGTACGACATGTTCGGTGTGTTCTTCTCCGGCCACCCTGATCTCCGCCGCATCATGACCGACTACGGTTTCGACGGCCACCCACTGCGCAAGGACTTCCCCTTGACCGGTTATACCGAGCTGCGCTATGACGAAGAGAAGAAGCGCATCGTCATTGAGCCCCTCGAGCTCACCCAGGCCTTCCGCAACTTTGAGAGCGGCTCTACTGCTTGGGAGCCTGTGGGTGCGGGTCAGGACCGCACTCCCGATTCCGTAAGTCATATTCTCTTTGTTGCTATAACACAATATCCTAACCTGTTCAAATATAGTTCAAGCTTCCGACCCCCAAGCCGGAGGCGAAGGAGGAAGAAAAGAAATAGACTGGGTCTGTATGCGTATCATTTTCTTTGCCATGTTTGTATGTACATATCCGTCAGTGTTAATCGATGGTCTTTTTTTGTCCAATCAATATATCCGGCAATGTAGGTAGTGCATGTAGCTGTTACCTTGTCCGAGTTTACTCATGAAATAACCCTTCTAGCCGGTAACAAATATTTTTTCTACGTATAATCCCAATTTACAAAGATTTCAAATATATACTCTGAGCTAGATCTCAAGCCGATTGATTTGCGCTGGCCATTACAAGCGTCTGTCTTGGCGCCGGGCTCCGCCCAAGAAAAAAAAAATTAAGCTACTCCAACATCCGACGATCAACACGATCCTCGAAAAGCCTACGTTTTTTTTTGTCGACGAGCCATACATTCTTTGACTCGCTCATATTAACACCCTACATCACAATACACTCATACCACCGAACAAGATGCCCAAGCGCAAGCTCGAAGAAGTCAGCGGGCCCGCGCGGTCTAGCGACACCCGCAAAATGTCCATTCACGGCACCCGGTTGACGCAAATGTTCGAGAACGGCGTATTGATGATCATGCGTTGTCTCAAGACATCGCGCGGCTTTGAGCGACAAAAGCTGAGTCGACGAGAGAAGACAGCGAAGGCACAGAAGGACGATAAGGCGTTGGCGCGACTGAAGGAAGAAATTGAGACTTTGAAGGTATGTAGTTATTGCTACTGTGGATACCCAGATGATATTGCGGAAGGTTGTCGTATAAACTGGATTGCTAATATTTGTTCTAACAGGGTCTCGATTACCATGTCACATCCGAGCGATACCTATTCAAGCAACTTATCAGAACGAAGCGCATTGCAGAGACGCGGACGTTCGGGGAGTTCCAGGCCGTCAAGAAAGTGTCCCAGGATGGACCGAAGAGTACAGCCGAAGCCAATATCCTGGCTCGACTATTCAAATCCACTCCTGTGCAGAAGGAAATGCCTGGTATCATGGCAGGTATTCGGAAACTACTTCGAGTCGACGAGGCGCCTGCTAGCAAGGCGACAAAAGAGGATGTCAAGAAGGATGCGCCGGCAAAGAAGCCACGAAAGGAAACCAGCGGATCAGAGTCTGAATCAGAGACAGCGACGACAAAACCTCGGCGCGGCGAGCAGGTCTCCCGCCCCGCGAACGACATGGACATCTCCGGCTCCGACGAATCCGGAGACGAAGACCTCTCACAATTCAACTCGCGACTTGGACCGGGCTCAGACTCCGAAGCCGACTCGGAATCCGGCGATGAGGAAGACCTCGCTGCAGACGATATCTCCGATTCTATCTCTCGTTCACCATCACCCTCCTTCTCTGCCGCAGACTCCCCACCTGCCAAGAAAGTAAAGGGGACTAAGGGCTCTAAGGAACCATTGAAAAGCACGACGTTCCTGCCGTCTCTAATGAATGGTGGTTACTGGTCTGGTTCGGAAGAAGCTACTGATGAGGAAGATTCCGGTAAGAAGCCTGTTCGTAAGAACCGTATGGGTCAACAGGCTCGTCGGGCCTTGTGGGAGAAGAAGTTCGGAGCCACTGCAAACCATGTCAAGCAGGAGCAGCTGGCTGCGAAGTATGGAGGTAGAGATAATGGATGGGATACGAAGCGCGGTGCAACTGATGGTACGAGAGGTGGAAGGGGAGGGAGAGGAGGGAGAGGGCGTGGTGGTTTCGGGGGTGGGTCTGCACGGCCTCAGAGAGATGGCCCTGCTGGTCCTCACTCTGGGCAGCATTCCGGTGGCAAGCCTAAAGGTGGTCCGCCTAAGGATGAGGGCCCATTGCATCCCTCTTGGGAGGCAAAGCGGAAGGCTAAGGAGCAGACGGCAGCTACTTTCTCTGGAAAGAAGGTTACATTCGATTAGGTTGTGGGCACTATGTATATTTATCAATCAATATTCGAATTCTCATCACAAGCAAACGAGTAGATACTTAGATCTCCCGTGTGCCTACAAGTTGAAAGTCACCCGACTCAGACAAAGTACGATATTGGTTCCAGTATATGAATTGATGCTTTGTGGATAAGCTGTGTACAATTTCCGAAAGTTCCGCCACCCAAGTGCAATACATAGCAGTGAATATAAACAGTCGCAAGATGGTATACCAAGAAAACGAAAATCAAAGTCACAAGACCCAACCCAAACACATTGTATAAATGAGTCGCTGCTTAAGAACAAAGCACGATAAAAAAAGATCATGAATCCGTCATGAAGTTCAGCCAGTGAGGGGGGTCAGATCTGCTACCAGGCGCCTTCATTTCAGCACCAGGCAAACCATTAGATTGACCCTGTGAATCCGGCTCGAAGCAAGGAATAGCAGTGAACTCGCCCAACTCTTGCGGGAAATTGGAAACAAAATGATCGAAGCCAAAGTGCGGCATCTGAGAGAGGGACTGCTGAGAAATGGAGAAAGTGTCGGGGGGTGGAACTTCGCCTTCTGGGATGCTCTGATCAGGTGCGGCAGGTGTAGGAACAGCGCCACCCACGCCAATCATGGCCGCAGATGGAGGCGTTAGAGTCATGCCATGAAGAAGAGTAGAAGGGCCTGCCATGGTAGAGGCTTGAGAAGGTACGCTTTGCGGAACATTTTGCTCACTTGAAGCATATGCCTCCTGCTGTTGCCATGCGAGCGTGGACGGCGAGATAGGCCCTGCTTTCCACAGCATCTCCCAGTTCTTGAACCGGTCATAGGCGGATTCGACGGCACCTCCACTGCTCATATCCGGCTGGGTCTCGCTCCATGCTTCAAGGCGGCGAATGGCACGTTCGAGTGCCTCTATGACACTAACAGCTGAACGGGCTGAGCCAACACCCATAGACATGATCTTTATCAGGGAAATTCCCTGTTCAAGTGCAGCACCAAGTCTTTCAGTTCGTTTGGTCAGGCCCTGGGCCAAAATGACCAGCAAAGCTGCACGGCATGAACTAAATTCGGTGAATGAGGCTCGTGCGAGACCGGTCTCGTCACGGAGCAAGCGGCACAAATCGATGATTTCTAGAGCCGCTTCCACACAATCTGTAACCAGAGTCGCGCGATTCTTCGACAAACCGGACACAGCGGCGGAGCCCTTGTACGGTGGGCCTTGAGAGGAGATCTGGTAGATGCCTTTGATATTACTGAACAGGAAAGGGCGTCCAATGAAAATTCGAGTTAGACAGTAGTCTAGCTTGAGATGGACATTAGATCTGAAAAGCGGCCCTGCAGGATTCAGATCACGACAGGTAATCTCTTCTGGGAGAGTCGACCACCAATCGACGAGATATTTTCGGTGACTCAGTAATCGTTCCAGACAGTCCTGCTGTTGCTCTTTGCGGTATTTTCGCAATGAGGTTATTTCATTTGAAACTTCCCCAAGCTTCAAAGTCAATGTAATAAGTGTTACCATATTTGTATGGTTTGATATTTGATTGACGGGCATTAACCCAGGGAAATCGACCGGTAGGGGACCATCAACGTCAGGGTCCGACAACGATGACGGTCGGCCGTGGAGAATGCTTATACGCTTTTCAATAGTAAAAGCTGTCCAGAAAACCCGATTTCGCACTTCGATCATGCGCGGAGACAGGCCTTCGCCGTGATACCTCCGATGCATTCCATTTTGGATAGCCAATTTTAGTGCTAGGCCAAAGTACGTGTAGCACAACCCTGAAGTATCCAACGGAAGCAAGTACGTCCCAATAAGTAGACAGGCCTGTACACTTCGAACGGAAGCGGTGGCGATAATGTCTGGTAAAAGCCTCGAGGCAAATTGGTAGAATGTGAGGCCAACCTCATCCTCCGAAAAGTGATGATCCTGATTTGCCGTGGAGCCGGAGGGCAAGCAATTCACCGGTGTGGATGACTCCATATGTGCAAATTGAGTGCCCACCGCCAAAACCATAAGAATACAGCACACTGCGCCTGCATCGTCAAATGACAAACTTTCAGGATCAGTGTAGCAGACGCCCAATTTCTCAATTAACCAGTCTTCCTCAATGTAGAAATTATTGGTTTGTGCATATTTGAAGAAGATCTGGACAAGAAAATCGGCGACATATCGCGGCGGCAGACATGTAATTGAGGAAGACACCTGAGGTGACGCTGACTGGAGTTGTGTACTTCGCCATCGCTCTTCAAAAGGCTCAACTTCAGAAGTTGCCTGCGGGGTCGGGTTTAGCATGAGTGCCTTCGCTCACCGACAATTCACGGAAACCTACCTCGGGTGCCGCAGTCTTCATCCACTCATCGATCTTCTTCCGAATCTTCATTGTGAAATTCAAGTATGAAAATTCCCCAGAATATTCTAATAAATAATGTCAATCAAAAAATCCCCATATATGTACTTCTGGGATCAACATACGGGTTGTGTTATCGGGCATAGCCTTGATTGTAAAATCCTCCTCATCAATGGCAAGATCTTCCAGCTCATTGGGGTCTTCCCGGGTAGAAATCGCATCGGACTCAGAATCGCGGTGTTTGCTCTTCAGATCCTCTGCAGCCTGGCGCAGAGACTGAATGTCGAAAGTAATATTGGGAACATAATGCGACAGGAGACGTTCCATAAGGCGCACTCGTTCGGCCTCGGCGATATCATTTCGGCTCAGGGCGGCTGCTCGGTCCAAAAGCCTGATAACAGGGGTCGCGCCATTAGCGGTTTGAAATAATGATAGAAGATGGTTATGCGGTCAACCTACGAGACGGACGTCGACCGGGTCTTTTCATTTGGGTCAATGTGAGTAAAATTGCATTGGCGGCGGTATCGCAGACATCTCCGACACGGCACACCTCCTTCGCATTTCTCTTTCACCCGGCGACAACCATCGCACCTGCGCAAAACGGATTGTGTTAGAAGATCCGGTTTAATTGATATACTAGGGCGATAGCATACGCTCTGACAGCTCGCTTGCGGTTTTCTTCGGCCACACGAGGACGTTTTTGCTGTGTGGGCGTCGGGGTCGAGTCGTCCATTACCGTGACAGCGGATCAGGGCATTGTCTAGAGAAAGGGGAACAATAAAGAGATTGGAAATAAAGAGAAATGTCCAAGATACAGTCAGACCGGAATGTCCCAGGTTGGAAAATGGCCATGTGAGGAGAAAAAGGGAAGGCTAATCGATAAAGATCCCCGCATCCCGGACTCATTTTGCTCCGCTCATCGGCTTTTCGGGGTCGATATTTCCTATTTTGGGATCTTTTCTGTCTTTTTGTCTTTATTTCCTTTTCTTACTTGTTTCATATCTATAATCTATTAAAGAGTTACCAGTAACTAACCTGCCCTAGTCCCTACACCCTACAGGGTTACTCTTTCACCTTTAATCGTATATATATCCCTGCATTGATGTTGCCAATATCCATGGCTACCCTTTGGCTAGAGTGCAACAACCTACATAGCAAATCCGCTTTTCAATTTATCTTTGTTTGAGCATTCTACCATGACCTACTACTGTAGGTATCTTTATTTACTCTCTTCTTTCAGCTTACTTCAAAGACTCACCTCTTACTTCATTATCCGCCCGGCTTCAAACATTTCGTATTTAACCTACTGCTTCGACCTCCTTTAAATTCCTTCTTTCCTTCGTCGTTCTTCGTAATTCATCTTTCTATCTTCATAGTTCATGATGTCCTCATTAGCCACCCTCCCGACTGAGGTGCTCTTTTGGATCATGGGTCATCTACCAAATCAACGAGATAGGCTGAACCTCGCCAAATGCAATGCACACATGTACGTAAGCCTTCATACCGAGGAATTTAGAAATATGGAATTTGAGCCTTGCTACTGCGCCCCCCAGCGAGTGGAAAAGCTCGTTGGCCTTCTTCTTCACAATGCCTACCTGGCAGGGAAAGTCAAAAGCCTGAAAGTGGGCAGAATGCGGAAATGTGATCAATATCATGCAATTCAAGTCCCAGCCAGGAGATCCAATCCGGTCCTAACCCGGTTGATTAAAGGTTTTGGTCAATCCTCAACCCTCGAGCTAAAGAAATGGTTTCGGCATTTCCAAGCTACCGATAACACCAGAGCTTGGAACGCTCTCATAATCTGCTTCCAACCAAATATGACTTATCTGGAATGGTTCAGTGAAGAGTGGGCCACCGTTTACAACGAGGGTTCACCTACGTTTCCATATATGACCCCGGCGCGAGCATTGCAATCTGTCCAAAAGGGTATTTACAAAGTCCCAAAGTATACGGCATTCGAACTCATAAGTATGACCCCAGGGTGGCATATCGCTCAGCTCAAGTCAATTTTCGCATCTGCCTCGATGCGCAGGATCACGATAGATGGGATGTCTGGCACCTACCCGGACCTGGCACCACGGAACTCGTCACCTATTACACATATTGAGGTGCATGGTATCTCACGATCAGGATTCAAAGAATTGATTACCCATTGTGTGAACTTGAAGTCATTCACGTACTTTTACTATGGGGAAATCTTTTCCCATTTTTCCATGAAGTCATACATAGATGCGATTTCCTCCAAGAAACACTCGCTCGAAACCCTTTGTATCAGCCAGGCACCGGTGAACTGCCCCATCATAGACAGCGAGGCATTCAATATAACTTTCAATGGGTTCAGTGCACTGAAGAATTTGGAGCTCCCGATGCACACATTCCTACAATTTGTCGATGTGAACTATCCATTGGACCACATCACACCCGACCGTGTCTCAGCCTGCTTTCTGATGCCGCTAGCTAGAAACCTACCGCCATCTCTGGAACGACTCTGTGTGACCCAATGGACGCTCCAAGAAGATTACCAATACATGATATATCAGCTAGTCAACTTGGTGCGATCGAAAAGCATATGTTTCCTCACCTCGGCAATATTAGAATCCCAGGCGATAACATTGAACACTTGTTCATCAAGTGTGTAGAGCAAGAGAGCCCTGTACACTATCCTGACTTGTTTGTTCCTACATTTTATGATGACCGGCTTCTCGATGCCTGCCGGGAAATGGGTGTGGTTTTGCGCGTCAAGAATGATCCCATTAACCGTGGTTAGTTGTGCTACGGATTTGAAATACTCAAATATTGAGACAGATAAAAGCGATACTAGTAGTTTGTTGACTTGGTATCCTAGCATCCAAGAAAGTGCAGGAGTAAATGAAATATTAGCCTAGTGATTTTCAATCATAATTCTGATCAATGATAGCGTGTCTCCCAAAATGTAGAAATACCGGAAACATTTAGAACCCATCAACATGAGTCCCAAGTCCCATTTCAACCCCAACATCAAGCACCTTCTTGCCAACAACAAGATCCATAAGACCCATACCAACACATTTGTAAACAACATTACAACCAGCAGGGACATCAACCGCCCCCTCCACAATCCCCTCCGCCCCCAAAAGATCCCCCATCTCAATCAACTGCTCCTCCCCAAGACCAGCAGTAATCAACTCTCCAGCCTCCTCCAGACAAGCCGTCTTCGAATCAACATAAACCTTCCCACCACCGGAAAGCAACGTCTCAGTATCAATCTCATGCATATTCGGCTTGTACGAACCAATAAGCGAGATAAACCGTTGCTTAGGATTCGCCTGCAGCGCCGCATACCCAAAATTCGGCACCGTAGCAGGCGTACAACTAAAGATAACATCCGCAGCAGCGAGTTCCTCCCCAAGACGTTGCTCATAATCATCAACGCCCTCCTTAGCAAGCGTATCAAACACAACACCGGGGTAAATCCCCCACAATTCAGAAACAACATCCCTCTCCATCTCGGCCAGTCTCTTCGCACCACGGTTCACGAACGTAACCCGTCGCACTTGCTCCGGGTACAGTAGTAGCGCAAGACGCGCATGCCACTCCGCCTGTCGACCACTGCCGAGAACGAGCACGTTGTGCTTGCGGAGGGTCGTGCAGCGCACAAAGAGCGTCATTGTTGCCAGCGCGGTGCGGAAGGCTGTTACTTCTGCTGCGGCTAGCAGGCCTTGCAGTCGGCCTTCTGGGCTGAAGATGTTGATTACGCCTTGGATTCCGGATGGACTTGCTGTTACCACTTTGATGCCGGTGGATGCGGTGTCCGATACCGGCATGAAGATGCAGGTGTTATCATCGCTTGTGGTGAACACTGTGCGCAGGGGTTGGTGGATTTTTTTGGTAGATGATGGGGTTGATGGCTTTGATTCTTGGGTAATGCTGATTAGGGCATTGCTGAGTACTGTGATGAAGCTGTGGCATTGGTCTTGCGTTAGACCGCGGAAAATTTTGGTGACGTTTGGTTCGGAGAGGATGTGCATTTTGGTTGATGTTTGATTTTGATCGGTGGAATGATTAGGGAATACTGGTTCGACTTTGTTTTATTTAAAGGAAGTAAATGGTATTCCTTTTGAGGTGATGGATAGGACAATATATGGGACAGAATATCGGATGGACCCTCCGATGCATACTGAAGTCGGGAGGGGCAAGTCAACCTGGTGGGGACTGCATTCTAAATGATTCGACCTCAGCCATGCCGAACAGTATTGGATTATCTCTTTGGTCCGGTTTCTTAATTTGATTACTATCTTGACTAAAAAATGATATAAGAATATAGTCACTTCATTTTAAAAATTGATTTCATTGATCATCATCAGAATGAACTTCCAAGGTTCTCATAAAGCAGTAAAAACGCCATGTGGAATGCACCCAGCTGTACGCAAAGAAAAATGCAACAAAAAAAAAGTGCAGCAAGACAGCCCGTGGGCTGCTAAGTAAAGACAAAACAATCTATGTAGCCTCCGAAAAGGAAAACCAGGAAAGACTCAAGTATCACTTGCTGCTGCTGAAAGCATTGCCAATGCGACGCTTCAACTCCGCAATCATAGCGATCTGAGAGTCCTTAGTACGGCCAACAGCCTCTGTGTTCTCCACGGCGCGACGAAGCAAGAAGCCCATGCATTCCTGAACTGAGCCCCAGGTCAACAGCTTGAAGACGTTGGGGGCATCCATGGGGGTAGCACCGACGCTGTCCTCGGCACTCTCGAATCCTTGGAGCAGTTCACAGCTAACCTCGTCGGCCATACCCTGAAGCTGAGCATAGCTAAGATCAACGCCGTAATCCTCGCCGCGGGTAGCTTGCTGCATGCGCAGAGCATGAGCCTTGCGAACAGACTCACGGTTGTGAGTAGCAATGATGACATTCACGGGCGGGAGTTCGGTAGGGGTGTCCTTGGAGGGGGCCTTGAGCATGGAGTTGTACTTGCGAGTGAGAAGGGACTCGACGACTTGATCATAGCACTCATCGGTCTCCTCCTTCTCAGCCCAGACGACGTGGCGGGGCTCAGTCTTCATGTAGGCGCCGCGGACGAGCTTGACGCCAAGTGTGTATCCCTCAGCACGAGCAGTCTCGAGGTGGCGGGCCAGAGTGGCAGGGGTAGAGCGCAGGTAGGCCTGGTAAGTTCCATAGAAGATGGCACGTCCGGGGGTCTGCGAGTTGCAGTATTTCTGATATTTCATGATCCAGGCCTCGATTCCAGGCTGCACAGCCTGCTCTTCGGCGTCGACCAGAAGGCGGACGCCACGGGAAATGGCGAGATCACAGACCTTCAGGATGGAGTTATCCATGTTTTCTGTGGGCATAGTCTGCGACTGCAACAGGCGAAGGGCATCGGTACCCATTCCAGTAAACTTCAAAGCGACGAAGTCACCGGGTTGAGCCATGTCAACTGTCTGCAGGGTGCCTTCCATCCAAATCTGAATCTCAGCCAGAGCAGCCTTGACGTCATAAGCAGCATTCGAGTTCTCGTCGACGAGAACCTCTCGGGCATATCCCAGGAGTACGCCACGGCATCCGAGGGCTTTGATTTGGTTGATCGAATGTTGCACTTCGAGTTTGTTCTCGCCAGCGTTAAATTGTTTATAAATGGTGTGCTTGACAAGCATATTCAGCAATGGGTTTTTGGAGACATCCCAGAACGCATTGCGAGGATGGGCCAACAAAGACAGGGTGTAGATGCATGGCTTGAGAAGTAGAGATGACGAGGAAACGGAGAGAACTAGCAACGAGCGTAGAACAGATGACAATGGCAGCTTAGCCAGGGGTGCTGTCAGTGCCTTGCGTGGTAGCGGAGGTGGGGCCTTTGTGGTTGATTGCCACATGTTGGAGGCTGAAACTGAGGCGACTGAAGATCGAGAGTTGCTGGTGCCGCTCACCAGTCGGGTGGTCTGGGCGGCGGCCTTGAGGGGCACACGCACGGCAGGTGCAGCCTTCATAGCTGGCAGTTGAAATATGGCAGTGTGAGATGTTTATTAGAGGATGGAGGGGGGGAGTAGCTCTGAAGTAAATCAAAGGTGAAAGGACTTGGAATAAATGGTAGAAGAAGCAGAAGAGCCACGGTTGAAGGCGACCTTTTAGATATGGCGATTATGTATGTGGAACTCATTGGGTAAGAGGTAAAGAGCCGGTGGCAACCGCCAGGGACCGGTACGGTCAGCTGGCCCATCTTAACGGGCCGGGAGGGCCTGGTAGTTCTTATGTGCTACAATCCATGGGTTGGCATTACTATTATTCATGTTCTGCTTGAATTATACCAACATTTAGAATAGAAGATTATAACGCTACGAACAACTATGAGAGTACGATCGGGTAGGGAGATCATGTCCGAGCGAGATTGAATGACGCTTTGATATTCGCCTCTTTACCCTTGCAATCTGCAATAGTTCGCAGATATTCAACCCTGCCGAACGGTCACGGGCCGGTTTGATATTGGCTGCCCACCGATAAGCGATAAGGAAATCTGACCGGGCCGGTATTTCTGCACGCGTGACTGGCCTCCGCTTACTTTCGGTTTAGTCCCAAAAGACCTTTTTGTTTAAAAAAAAAAAGATGCTTCAATGTATTCCCAGGTGGATATGCATTCCAAGCTTTTGTCTGATTTTATTTGGGAGCCACACCTAGGCAGGTCCGCCTATTTTACCCCAGATTTCACCCCTCCCAAGATACACACCACGTGATTCCAATGGCAAACGGGAGGCAAATGTTTAAAGTCAATTTGGTGCACCAATCGCAAGCTACCCGGGTGCTTACCATAAAGAAGGTTTGGACTAAGCAATAGAACAACGCTAGAAGGTTGGAGGAATATTTATCGAGAGACAATGTGTCAAAGGTAAGATAAGAGCAATCTGACATGTGAGTGCAAAGATACGCATGAAATGAAAAACGCGGCAAGGCAGGAGCCAGCGAGACCGAGCTAGAACTAAAAGGTAATGTGGGCGCCAATCATCTACAAAAACTTAATCAAAAGCCCCCATAATGGCCCGGTCTTGTTGATTTCTTTTGGATATTGGGCATTCGTTCCCTGTATGTTGTAGACGTTTTTAACGTTTTTATTATCTTGCTAGAGAACGTTTTCTCCAATTAGAGGACACTACCATGGCGTATATTTTTATCTCATCGGAAGGGCGTTCCCGAAAAGATAACAGTTTCAGGGCTATAGAATAGTAAGCTTAGTATAATAACCCTAAGAGCAGTCTTTCCCCGGATATCCCAAGTGGCTTTATAGGTTTCTACGCTACCTAGAATTTCCCGTGTCGCTGTATATCTTCTCTTTGATCTAGATTGGCCAACATTCCTACCTTTTCTCTGCCTTCGCGTATCATGAAAGACGACTCACCCAAAAGCCTCGAGGCTGGGGATCGTCCCGAGTCCCCGTACGATGACCCAAAAGCCATGAATGGAGAGATCACTCGCGTTCACAACTCAAACACTCAGCGAGGTTTGAGCTCGCGCCATGTTCAATTCCTGGCTCTAGGTGGTTGTATCGGCACCGGTCTTTTTGTCGGCAGTGGCGCAGCGCTCTCAACAGTTGGACCTGGTAAGAATCAGCGTGCGAATCATACATTTGATATGGGGGGCTAATGTGTGATAGCTCCTTTGCTCATGGGTTATATTGTGATGTCAATTATTGTATACTTTGTCATGAACATGCTCGGTGAAATGACAACCTACCTCCCCATCCAGGGTGTTTCTACACCTTATTTGATCACTCGGTTTACGGAGCCCAGTCTTGGATTTGCTAT